GTATGAAGACTAATGTTAAGATTAAACAGCTTTGAGATAAATGGCTCAAAGGGAATGTCTGGGAAAAGAAGACAACTGCTGTGATGTCCTCGAATGACATCTAGCATTCACTGACCTCATCTGAATTATCAGCACAGTCATAGTCACCATCGCAACGGAAGCGTGCTGAGATACAGTCCCCACTGATGCAGGCAAAATCCTTATGATTACAGGTCACTGGCTCTGCAGAGAGGAGAGCAGAATAAGACAGCTAAAGCGGCACAGCTACCCTGACCGTGCCCTGTGAAGCTGCCTGCATTGAAAACACTGAAGTAAACCTTTGCAGAGGACAGCAGTGAGGTAGCAATAGCAAATCAAAACTGCTAAAGTGGCCTCGCATGAGTTGACATTGTACCATCTGTTACCAAGGCTCCTGAAAGTTTGCCAAGAACTTAAAAGGAGCTATTTGCAGACTAATCAGCAATTAGAATGTCTAAAAGGGCTGTTCTCGAAGAGAGTCCACAGGCTCTAATTGCTGTAAAAACATGTTGGGTGGTTCGAAAAACCTGTTAATATAAACTGTTTGAAATTGGTTGTTGATTTAACAACATAATGTACGAAAAAAGGCCATTAAAGCAAAGGCATTTTGGACATTATACATGCTCATTATTTACTCTGGCTCCTGTCATTTCAAACCCATATGCTTGTATTTTTAGACAATAATTTTTAAACTAAGAAAAAACAAATCTGCATATAGTTTTATTCACAAATTTGGAGTTTCTAAAAGAAGTCTCTTATGCTCACCAAGACCGCATTTATTTGATAAAAAATATAGTAAAAACAGCAACATTATGAAGTAAATACAATTTAAAATTTTTATTTTTTATTATTTATAAAATATTAAATTATTTGTTTTATGCTGAAATTTCAGCAGGCATTACTTCAGTATTCAGTGTCACAAGATCCTTCGGAAATCATTATAATATGCTGATTTAGTGCTAAAATAATTTATTATTAATTCAATTCAATTCAAGTTTATTTGAATAGCGCTTTTTACGATACAAATCGTTGCAAAGCAACTTTACAGAAAATTAAGTTTCTACAATATATTTAGTAGTAGCTTATCAGTGGTGACTGTCAGTTTATGTACATATGGCAGAAACGTACGGAAAAATCAATTAAAGACGTAATCAAATATTATTATTATTAATGTTGAAAACAGTTGTGCAGCTTAATATTGTTGCAGCTAGAAACTGGAGGAGATCTGCAGGATGTGAATGCTACTTAATATTTTTTCTTCCAAAATTAAATAATTGGCTCTTTTTATTTGGCAAAACACCATTGTATCATAATAGCATCAACTTATTTTAAAAATAGATAGTCTTAATATTTATAAATAGTTCTAACAACATAATACAGAACATTTATAACTTTTTTTGTTAATTAAAATAAACTAAATTGTAAACATTTTGTCAATAAAAAAGCCAAATCAGTGGTGACTGTCAGTTTATGTACATATGGCAGAAACGTACGGAAAAATCAATTAAAGACGTAATCAAATATTATTATTATTAATGTTGAAAACAGTTGTGCAGCTTAATATTGTTGCAGCTAGAAACTGGAGGAGATCTGCAGGATGTGAATGCTACTTAATATTTTTTCTTCCAAAATTAAATAATTGTCTCTTTTTATTTGGCAAAACACCATTGTATCATAATAGTATCAACTTATTTTAAAAATAGATAGTCTTAATATTTATAAATAGTTCTAACAACATAATACAAAACATTTATAACTTTTTTTGTTAATTAAAATAAACTAAATTGTAAACATTTTGTCAATAAAAAAGCCAATTAAAAGATACATTTTTAAAGAGCAATGACATAGATCTCCTCCTCTCTATTTACCATGTGTTGTTATTTCTTCCCCCCTTCTTGTTTTTGTCCTATTTGAAGTTTGACAGGCCATGATAACTACAAACAGTCGTATGGAAAGAACATATGGGTTTGGAATACAAGTAAAAAAATGACATGGCATAAAACACACATAAATAGTTGATCTTTCTTTGCGGCAATGTGGGCACGATCAGAAGTAAACACACAAATGGTAAAAAAACAGACAAAAAGAAATCTTCAAATAGTCTGCGAAACTGGCCTCTGAAGACCCCCACACAAAGTTTCTTGACAGTTAAAACAATTTAGTACAAACACGAGTGTGGAAAAAGCTTTATTGTGCTCAGAGAGATGAGAGCGACTCACTGCAATGCTCCTCATCGGAGTTGTCTCCGCAGTCATTCTGGCTGTCACATCTCCAGTGGTCCGGGATGCAGTTGTTATTCTCACAGCGAAATTCATGAGGTCCGCAGGTCTTTTCATCTTTTTCATCAGACACAAACAAACACACCGATGAAAATGGCTTTCAAAAGTGCATGAATATTAATGCAGTGCGACCGCATTTCGACACGTAATCATCATTTCCTCAGGGTTCCGGGCCCGGATCTGACACCAAGTTCAAAACATGCCCACACTCAAGAGGCTAACACACCATAAGATGAGATACCTGACTGTGCTGCCGATAGCTTCCATCCTCAATAACCTGAACACTTGACACGTAACATCAAACACTTTGTCACCTGGGCACAATCGTCTATGATGAACATTTCTGAACGAGCTCATTCTACCTTTTTCCAGAGTTTGTGTAGTGTTTATGTTATATAACCTAAGAACTTTCTGAGGTGTTAGAACCCAGATAAATTGTTAATGAACAGACATGAGGACCACATCATCCGATCAAAACTTTGGTTACAGGTTTTTTTCTCCCCAAGAACACAGGCTAAGAGAAGCAAGCTGCAAATAAATAGTTTTCATTAGTGAGAAATAATAAAAGAGCATCCTAGAATATCTCCCTTGACAGACTCTTGTTTAAATATTCTCTAATGTGGCGCAGGCATGTAGCGATAGAAAACATCCAAAGGAACGTCTAGAGATACTGGCATCTGAGAAAAAAAAATACTGTTTATTGTTTGAGAGATGATTCTTAGTTACAATAATAAAAACTGTCTGTCAAACACTAATGAATGTTACAACACAGAAGCCACTGCATAAGATATGTGAAGATAGAATTTATCTACTGATCTTACAACATGTACACAGATTTCCACTTATTTCCGTATGATTGTAATTCCCAATATGACCAAAAGTGAACTGGTAAGTATCAATAAAGCTCGCCTGTTGAGTTAATTCCACCATTTCACATCAATTGGCAAGATATAGATCTATAATTACTTGCAGGCCGATGTAGATAAAGTGCATCACATCTGGAAAATCAATGGAGACACCAGAGGAGCCCGTCACACCTCAATTACAAAGTGACCCCTTCTACTGTTTCACTGATGTGTCACTCATTTGGGGGATTTTTCCCTGAATTGCAGATAATCCATAACAACATCAGATATGTTCAGCCAATGCAATCAAAACAATTTTCTCAATCAAATTCCGACAATGTGATTTTTTCCCAAGCTATTGATTTCATTTCTTTTGTTGACTGATATGGGAAAGCCATGCTCATCATCCCTGCTGGGACGTGTAACAGTGTTATATATACACCATATATTGAGGACGATTACCTTTAAGACATCCACTTAGAGGCTGTGTCCACACTGCAAATAAATAATGATTTTCTACAATGATGTGAGAGTAAAAAAGCAACAACATCAGCGTGCAGTATAGATCCTTAATAAGTCTAATGTTTGAGAGTCAGACCTCTTTGTCAAGGGAATATTCTGATGAATCATTAATGAGGTTCAAAAGACTATGGCTCTGATCCAAAACTTAGTGAGCTGCACAACACAAACAGTAGGCAGCCTATTTAAGGCATGTTCCAAAAGGCACTTTTATCTTTACCCTTTTACAAAACAGTTTTTATAATAAATAAAGATAATACAATTTGATAAAAAGGAGATAGAATAGATAGAGCTAGTGTTAGAGGGTCAAGTAATTATTATAATAATTAAAAAGAAAACAAGTAGAACAGAAAAACAATAGAGAATAACGAATAACGCTAGTGTTAAAGGGTCATTTTTTATTATTTAATAAATAAAAAGAAAACAAGTAGATAAAATAGAAATAGAATAGAGAGTTCTAGTGATAGAGGGCCAAGTGTAGATAGAAGAGACGTTTCTTGAATTCAGTAAATTCTAAATGAATTAACACATTCAATAAATTTGCTAATACTAATATTTCCTTCTGCTTTCTGAAGTCTGGTCAGACATTATGAGATTCATTGCAATTAATTTAAATACTGAGGTAAAATTTTATAGAAAAATAGATTATTTGTAATAATTTTATTGAAGACTACATTAATGTATAAACGTTTGGGGTCATTAAGATATATTGATTAACAGTGACACTTTCTTTGTTTAATAAATAAATAAATAAACATGTTTCATATAAATGCTGTTATTTTGAACTTTATATTTATCAATGAATCACTGTTTCTACAAAAATATTAAGCAGTACAACATTGATAATAAAGCATATCAGGATGATTTCTAAAGGATCACTGAAGACTGGAGTACTAGCTTTTCCATCACAGGAATACATTTTTAAAAACATTTAAAAACATTAAAATAGAACAGTTATTTTAAATTGTAAAATTATTACTGTTTTTACTATATTTTTGATCAAATAAATGTAGACTTCCTTCATTACGTCAAAAAATCTTACCAACCCCAAACTTTAGAACTTCTGTATTTTTTAAAAGTAAGAAAAAACTGCATATCATTTTGTGTTTATTAGAACATCACGTATTTAGCTTAGCTACATGCTAAAGGGAAGCTCTGCTGAAATCAACTTGTGAGTGAAGTCTCCTGCGTGCTTTGTTTGAGGAACGTTATTTATATGCAGCCAGGAGTTGCTGCCTAAGCAGAGTGTTCCAAATCTGTCATTTACGAGGTTACAATTCAATTAGGAATGAAGCTGCTTATAGAGACATTTATGTGAACCTCTACTGCATATTGCAATTTTTCAGTATAGATCAAATGATTGGTACTAATAAAATGAGGTACACAGCCTGTTTGTTCAATATAAAATACAGAAAAATACTCGAAGCAAAATATGCCTAGCGAACCCTCAGAAATTGTTTTGCCAGTGTATCGCCACTTTAAATGTCTGGAACACATAGTGAGACCACCGCTGATGTGCCACTGTCAAACTAAATCAGGCATTCAGGCAACTAAATAGGCCCAGGGGAATTGTTACAAGCCACAGCTAATAAAAGCCGAGTGGTTCATGATTAAAGCTGGCCTCACTCCATCAGAGAGAGAGAGAAGACTGCGGGAGCATACAGAATTGACATTAGCCCCAATCAGGCTTTCAGACGGGTCTGCGCGTGTGGCTGACCGAGGCTCTGATTTGTGAATAATAACTGCGGCTCACTCACCACAATTGGCCTCGTCAGAGCCGTCAGCACAGTCTGGGTCTTCGTCGCACACCCAGAGCTTTGAGATGCAATGCATGGTGGCCTTGCACTGGAACTGGTCTGGAGAACATGTGCTCTCAGCTGGAACATTAAGGCAGACAGAAAATAGCAGGTTATTTATAAGGCCAGTGAAAAGCTATTGTAAGAGTTTGAGGAAAAAAAAAAACATTCAAACCTTTTGGTACTTGTAAAGGTCATGCATATGATTCAGTAAAGGAGGAATATATGCGACATCTTCATTTTCTTTATAATATGACAAGGTCTTCTGCAATTACCATCCAAGAATGGAGGAAATGACAGCCTAGAAGTGTTAGTCAAGGCTGGTCATAAAAAGGTCAAATGGGGAGTGATATATGGCATTTCTTCAGCTACAAGTAATTCTATGTTGCAGGTTTTTTTTTTTTTCTATGACTAAAAGATCTCGATTTATTTTTCTGTATGTTGTATGAAGGTCAAATTAAAATGCCTTGGATTTTTTAAAATGCCTAAATCATATACTTTTGCTACTTTTAAAATGTACTTTATGCATTGACTTTACTGTTTTACTGTCTCAGGCTTCATTAGAAACACTCAAAAATATTAATATATTCATAAATAATAAATTACATTAGCCTCACAAACGCTAAAACACATATTAAAATATGTATGGCTTATATTGAGTTTTACACAAATGACCTCAGTTCCCTCATTTGTGACCTTGACCAACAATTTTTCAACAATTTCAAATTTGTGCTTTTGATAATCAGGCTGGCAAAAGTTCCACAGTGAAGTTATGCACACTTGAGACGAAATATGAAAATGGTGAAAACTCAAGGTAAAAGAAAATTCAAGTAGTTTTTTTAATCACAGAACAGGATTTTCATTGTCTCTCAAGCTGTATAAAATTACGCTGAATAATACATTATTTTAAAACAATATTTAAATGTTTTTTATTTTGGATTCATAAAATAAAATTAACCTCAGCGAGACAAAATGTCTGCCATCTTATAAAAAAAAAAAAAAAAACTTAATTTCCACCACAGTCATTTCCAAATGAGATGTGGTGGAAATGTCCATGACGGATCAGAAAAAAAATATGACCAAAAAAAAAAAAAAAAAAGTGCTTGTCTGTAGCACACTGTGCGGTAAAATTTAGTGTGAGTTTGAAAAATATTCAAAAATGTACTTTCTAAAAGCTTATAGACATTTCCACTCCAGGTGACTTTGCTTCTCAATGACAATTATTGCTACCATTCCCAGGAAAGGGCCCTTTCTTTCAGAATACCTAATAAGCACCTGGCTATCCTTTTAGCTCCCAAACCAGCCAACTCGTTTGGTGGGATAAAAGCCACATTTGAGATCTGTCAGTCTGGATCATTAAATTCACAGGGCAAAAATTTGGCAGAGTTCGAACAATTCTGTCACAACACCCTTTAGTTTACGAGAATGAGGCCCATTATTGTCAGTGGTTCATGGAGGGAGCAGAAAGTGTCATGGCGTAGCTTACGGCAGTCTGTCTCGTCCTCTCCATCCCCACAGTCGTCCTGTCCGTTGCAGCGAAGATTTAATGGTATACACTTCTGCTTTCGGGTGCACTTGAACTGGCCTGACAGACAGATGTATGTATCTGCAAATGGGGGGAGACATTACAGTGAGAAAAACCATTAGATTTTGACCATCAAGCTGGATCAATGCACATGATCATCCATATTCCAGTTGAATTTGGTTGCTTCAGAAGAGACGGGATGCAATAAGAATAAAACTGAGATGATTGCAGATACAATATTATTTGTGTTAAAAGCACTAAACGTCTCGAATCGTAAATCAGTGTTGTTTCAATACATCCCAATTACGATCGTTATATGACAAAACACCCTGTACTCTTTTCTAATACTTCTAAAGTGGATATCGATCGTTTGATAGCGGCAAGAGTCTGTATAATTGAGCATTCAGAGACAGCTGTGCTAAAGAAGATTTGTTGCTGATGAAAATTCTAGGCAGATTTTTCTCGCTCGTGCTCGCCACATGCTTCACAGGAACTGAATTCTACAAGGGAGTCCCGATAGCCTTGCACAGAGAGAAAAAGCAATGGATCTGTCGATAAGAACATGGCATTTAAGAACAGCTTTCGTATGTATTATTCTGCTCACCACAGTTGGCCTCATCTGAGTTGTCCCCGCAGTCATTCTCTCCATCGCAGATGAAGGGAGGTAAGGCACAAAGGCCAGTGCCACACTGAAAACGCCCAGGCTGGCATTTGAATTCCGCTGCAAAAATGATGATTAACAGTGAACTCTGGAGGATTCAAAGCAATTTGCACATAGGTGTGTGTTTTTAAACCCGAGCTGCGTGAGGTTGCCTGAAATGGGCGAGTCAACCCACGTTCCATTATTTCTCTAAAAGCACTTCTACGATATTTAATGCCCCCTGCCCTTTAGCGAACAACAGAGGTTCCACCTATTAACAGCAGCTATTGGCAGCCTGTCATTTTCTGTTTGTATTGCTCAAGTGAATCACCAAGCCACAAAGTGAATCTAAAAACAAGCTCACTGGGAAACAAAAATGAAAGAGCGAAAGTTCCTCCTTTTGCGCGATTTAAAGGTCAGTCTACTGAGAAGCAGTGAACTAGTTCATCTTCATACTGTTTGTAACAGCACTGGCATGTGGTAATATCAGGGCCCATTTTAACTGGTGGGAATGGCAGTTTTATTTCACTTGTTTGGAATATAACCACTGCATTTTGTTTTACTACGCTGTATTGTGTGTGCATTCTGTCGTTGGCTGTGTAAAACAACGACTTTAAAGCTGCAATGTAATCGAAGTACCAACAATATTTTTCTTCCATACTGTGATGCATATCTAAATGAAATAGATTATTTAAAAAAAAAGATCAAGGGTAAGGACTTGGTTTTGTCCATCGGTTGTTGATTGGATGACAGTGCAAGTGCTTCACTCGCATTTGCGATTAAAAATAGATGTGTGTAAACGGTCACACTTTATTTTAAGGTCCAATTCTTGCTATTAACAAATCATTACCTACGACTTTTGCCTCAATAAACTCCTAATTTGCTGCTTATTAATAGTTAGTAAGGTAGTTGTTAGGTTTAGGTATTGGGTAGGATTAGGGATGTGGAATATGATACTAATAAACAGCCAATATGCTAATAATAGGCATGGTAATAAGCAACTAGTTAATAGTGAGAATTGGTCCCTATACTAAAGTGTTACTATGCAAACTTGTGAATAAAAAAGTCCCCGTGGGAAAAATTAAGTTTTGTGAAATTCAAGTCATAAAAATTCTTAAATATCTTAAATGATCATTTTAAGAGGTCTTACATTTGTGGATGGAAAAACAGATGTAGCGATACAGCGTAATGTGACTACAAAACTTCAAGTCTGTGATTTAATTAAATAAATGTGAGTGCCTCACATTCAAAGTAAATATGTGGCACTGCTGCGCATTCTACAGGTTCACAGTTTCAGAGGAGTTTGCCATCAATAAACAGTTACATTTTTTCCTTGGAAAAAATATGCATCAAATAAAAATGATTTTGCAGTCAACTGCAAGAAAGAGGCGGGGTTTATGTGGACAAAATGATTGGAGAAGTATATCACTAGTGAAATCTGAGGTATGACATTCTGATTTGAAAGTCAAAATGTAAACGTAAAAAATAAAAAAGTATGTAAATAAATTAATATATATATGCATGGATGACTTGTTCACAATAAGATCAATAAAAGCATTTAAAAAACAGAATTTCCATTTCATGCTGACTTTAAGACCAAGCAGAAGCTTCTGCCAAGCAGTTGTTTTGAATGAACGCGCAAACGATAAACTGTAATCCAACATGGCTTGTGCTCATCTTCTAGTCTTGCCTTTCAGCAAATCAGAACATCACATAATGCAATTAATATTTATGACCCAAGTTAGAGCTCTAAGCAGCTTACAGGGAGCCATCTACCGTGAAAAACAAAAGAAAAGCAAAGTTGTCTGGCAAAAAACTGCATTTTTATAATCAGAGTTGTCACAAGGCTTTTCTATTAAACCTGTATGACAAAAACACAATGCTGTTGACGTTTCTTGAAAGATTCACTTTAAAGCCGGTCTCATATGAGTGTAACCGTAGCAACTAGGCATATAAAACAGAGTCATAGAGGCTGATGAGATTTATAATGTGCCCCACGCACTTTTTGAATTGTTCTTAAAACCCCTGGTTACGACACTGCATGAAAATTACAAACAGTTCCAAACAAAAACAACAGTGCAGGCAGTGTAGACTGGGTAACATTGGAAGCTAAGCACTCACGACAATCCGCAGGCTCATCAGACCCATCACCGCAGTCATCTACCGTATCACATTTCCACCAGAATGGGATGCATTCATCCGTTCCACAGCGGAACTACAAAACAAGTCCACCGCATCGAAAAAGGTCAATCAGTTATGGGTAACACAAACTGGAACAATCATTGCAGTTCCGACTAATGACATGGAATCATCATTTTGGCATACAGACCTGGCTGGCTGTGCAGTTGGACAGGCACGTTTTGTTATCGGCAGCCAAGTAGAAGTTAGTCGGGCAGGCGCATTTGTGACCTCCACCAGGAGAGAGTAAGCACAAGTGGCTACAGCCTCCATTGGCCACTTGACACTGGTGTTTGGGGACTGGAAAAAGGGTGAAGAAATGACTTGTGATTAGGTAATATTCAAAGAATATTTATGCAGCCTTGCCATATTGTATAAAATCTAAAAAAGGTATGTGTCCATACAAAATAATATAATATAATATAATATAATATAATATAATACAAGAGCTGTGTAGGGGTGAGTAAATAATGACAGCATTTTCATTTTTGGACAAACCAAGTGTAAAATGAATATAATATTTATTTTAAACAGTCTCTACCTTCAGGTTGGCGCAGTGGGTGGTAGACAATGACAGACTTAATGGCTTGCCATGAATTCAGGAGCTCGACAGCATTAGCACCGGTGGTCTTATGAGCTCGACGGAGAGATTTGGACTTCCCGTCAGTCCAATAAATGAAGTCCTCGAACAGCGTGAGCCCCATTACACCCTGGATGTGGTCATGAGGAACTGAGGCAGAGAGTATCATACCACGTACCATCATTAAAGTTGCATTACTGCATTTATAAGTGATTTACTCATTATCTTACAACTTTCAAATTTACTGTACTCTAGTCTAACTTTTGTGAATGTACTGTAAGTACAATGACAGATCTTATACTTTTTTGCATATTCCACACACATATACACAGAAGATTGTGGCCTTGCATTATTATACTGTTGAAAGGCTTTATTGCGGTTTCTTTTATTCAATTGCTGCCTTGTTATGGTCCACTAATCCACTAATACATGAAAAAAAAAACAACAACACACAATTATGACTCATTTTGTACCCCGTTGCCTCTGAGAACCGTCCATGTTGGCAAAAAAGATGTGATTATCATCAGCCCAGTAGATTCTCTTGTTTGTGTAGTCAATGGTCAGAGCTGAGGGGCTGTAGATTTCTTTGTTCACAATAGCGCTCTGGCCTTGGCCGTCCATGCCAACTCGACCGACGTGAGGGTTTTCACAGCAGTCAATCCAGAACACATACCTGAGGAACAGAGAGTGACCCTCATTCATGAACTCTCATCACAGTTGTTTCAAGCAGAGATTAGCTATTCTCATTGTTCTGAAGGTTTATGCATTTCTTCTTTTTCTTGTGACAAAATGAAGTCTCCCTGGATTGATGGTGCTGAAGTAGAAAGGATACTGTGCAAATTTGAAAAGGAAGCATTTGTACCCGGTTTGAGCATCCAGAGCCAAGTCCGTTGGGTTCTTCAGGCCAGAGCTCACTAAGACAGTGGGGTATAAACCGTTGGATTTGGACATTTCCAGCGTCTTTCTCTCCACGTCGCACCAGTACAAGTTCTTCCCAATCCAGTCCACAGCAAGCGCACTTGGCACAGCTGTTCTGTGAACAATCTAATAAAGCAAATAAGTGGCATTAAGATCAGTCACTATAATCTTATCACATAATACTACTTTAATGAGCAAGTAGGATAATGGGAAAACACGTCATTAAAGTAATTGTTCAGCCAAAAATGGAAAATTCTGTCATTATTTACTCAATTTCATGTTGTTCCAAACAGTATGGTTTTCTTTTGTCAGCAGAACACAAAAGTTGTAATTGTGTAATCAAGGACTTTTTTATGCAACTTCATTAAAGAGGACATTGTGCTTTCAAGCTTCAAAGCAAATCACCATAAAAGTAGTCCATATAATGCACCACACTGTATTTGTCCTCTGAAGTCAGCTTTGTTTGAGGAACAGGCTGAAATGTAATCATCTTGAGTCAGTGAGCTGGACTTGAGAGCCAGATCAATCATGAACGAATCATTCTGACCTTTATGAACTTGGACAGTGATTCTCTGAAAAGATGCAAATCAAAAGAATGATTCATTCACAATGGATGACTTAATTTTGCTGAAATTGTGAAATGATTCATTCATGAATCAGAACGATCTGGTTCTCAACCCTCACTCTCAATTCATTGCAATTGCATAGAAAAGAGTGACCAGAACATTCTTCAAAATCCTCCTTTTGTGTTCAACATAAGAAAGCAAGTCATTCAGGTTCAGAATGAAAGTGAATAAATAATTATAAAATATCCATTTCTGAATAAACCATTCCTTTAAATTAGTTATTCTATCTGATTGGTATAGTGCCTGAAGCTAATACTGCATAGCATGCTGATAAAACACAAACTTTGCTGTCCCAACATAGGCTGTCACTTCAAGACATGATAAGCTTTGAGATCTTCTCTATCATCATCATCTGACAGGGCGTATGTAGCCGTGCCAATTGACAAGACCGCCCCTTCAGCAGTAATTTCAGCAAAGCTGAGCTTGAAAAATTCTCTGAAATGTCAATGATTGAGGAACATTTCCCCAATCAGGAAAGTGCCTCCAGATGAGAGGATGAGGGGAAACATTAATATTCCGAGTGGGAAAGAAAGCTTCTGGTATTCTAGTGATCTAGTCAAGCTCTGATTTGTGTGGAAATGAAGGCTAACTCTTGAAAATGTCAACATTTGAATACATCACAAAATCACATGACGAATGATTCCCGGAATAGCTGCAATTTATATATGTGTATATGATATTCAAAATCATCTTTTTTTTGACATTATTGAAAGGTTTTAGTTATGGCATGTGTCCTAAATGATGCCTACCAGCATAGATTTCAGTATTCACATAACATAGAGCCAACATATATAACTGACAGTTGCATGGAGTGGTTCAGCATGCTAACTAATAAGGCCGTATAGCATATCAACTTTGGCCCATTATATATTAATAGACAAATTCCCTTATTGAATCACACCAAAGGCTTTGCCTGAGGCATCATGTCAAACGTGCTCCAGTGCAGGAGTTACTCATTACATTACAGTGATCAAACCCATAGTGCACTGTTCCCAGAATCCAAACATTTGTTGCTAGGGGCAGTCTTATAACTTGCTACTTGCTTCCGTTTATCAATTGTGCAAAATAATGCATCTGAAGTCTGTAAAAAAATGCTGATTATGTGGTAATGAATATTCAGGCTACACCTTCAGCATTGAAAAACATCTGTAACTCTATACCCTATTCATCTTGCCAAGAGTTTGCAATAAATGATTTGCAATAGAGCTGCACGATTAATCGTTAAAAGATCGCGATCTCGATTCAGTCAACCACACGATCTCATTTCTAAATGACAACGATTCTCCCGTGTCTAATAACCTTTGACAAAGTCTTACCGGATCATTCAAATCTGCGTTCGCACTGCCGCTGACACACAGAGAGCATTATCACAGAAATACTGGGATGAAAGTTTATAATTCAGATATAAACATTGATGTCTATGGTAGCGCGACCAAAATAGAGCAAATCCGCGTTTGAAAGTAACTACCACATAACGTTTGTGTCAATTGCATTGTTTCGCTACTAGGTGGTGAAAAGTGACTTAAAAATGTATAATTGAATGAACTATTTTGTTTAGTTCAGAATCGTGGGAGAATCGTGATCTCTATTTGAGGCAAAAAAAATCGTGATTCTCAATTTATCCAGAATCGTGCAGCTCTAATTTGCAATAAACAATTATTATTCAACAATTTAATGCAGTACATCAGACTTGGGGAGAGTCTTGCAGGCAACATACATACATACATGCTTATGTGCAGCAGTGAATCGTGCACATATCTGATCATTCAAAGGCAATAAACAGATTTAAATATTGCTTGTATTGTTCAAATATTGGCTGGTTTAGTTCAAAGCAGGAGTAAGTGATTCTCAAAATGTATTAATAAAAAATAGATTGGATGCTGCAGGTGAAAAGTCTGATGGTTGTACTCATGGTGGGAGTAATTAAAATAATGAGGAATTTAGATTTTGTTGTAAGCAAGAGAAAACAATTTTCATCAATAAGGATACGATCAGTTGTCTTAAGTGAAAAGTATCAAATAGTCGGATGTGAGTTTCTTCTTCGTCTTCCATGTTTAATTAATTGTGATTTAAGCAACAAAATTAATAAATATATAGTATGACTTTAATTTTAATCAGCAGCATCACTGTAACGTAATGGTATTCCTTACTGCTATTAAAGATTTTGGTTGAAAAATTTGAAGAAACATTTTTGGTCATGTAGGGACTCCTAAAATATACCTTGCGTTTCATATGCTTTGTGTCAGAAATAATACAAAGTATTCAAATGTATTTTATTTTTCTTTATTTCGAAATATGATGCAGCAATTATCTCATCCATGAACATGATTTCTGCCCGAGTCCCGTCGGATTGCTTCGGCTGTGGGGATGAAGACGACAACTCCCATGATTCCACACTCAGTCACGGCGTCATCAATCTACGCCTTTGTTTCTTTGTTTGTTTTGAATACGTGCGCTCTTGCGGTGAAAACTTACATATTGTGCCTTTAATGGATTTTTTTCAATTCGTAAATTCAGCCAAATATTTTTGAATGAAAATGAATGACATTTGGCAGTAAAATAATAATACAAACAAAACAAAATGATCAAAACTAATGAATTAACAATTAATGAAAACAGAGTATAACAATTTCCACTCAATGATAGAAAATTACGATTGTTTGTAAAAAAAAAAAAAAAAAGAAACTACCGGCCTAATTCACCATACAACTGCCGGGAAGCCAGGATTCATGTTAGAGAAATAATTAAATTAACCCCTAGGGTTAAGGAAAGGGTTACAGTCATATTACACACGTCTTAGTAATTTAAACTAGGGAGCTGCTAGAAAGTCAACACATTTAGAACGGAAGAACAGTTGGAAAAAAAGTGTTACTAGTAAGCGATCTGAGATGTGATATGGCTAATTAAGTCAAATGAGTGTGTAGTGTGAAGAAATCTTAGATTTATGTGTCTTATGAAATTGAGGTAGAAGCTGTTATTACATCTTGATCAGAAAAAAGTACAAAAGCTATTCCTGGAGTGGTACCCTTTCACCATCGTTCCTTATTTACACCGAAAGGGTGCATTTAAGTACCTTAAATGTTCATATTAGTATCTAAAGTGTACATATTGGTACTTAAATGATACATTTTTGTAAGGTAAGTCAGTTTTTTCATGTCTCTCCAGCATACTAGGAGAAGAATGTACTGCGTCTCCATGTCAGTAAATAATGAATTAATAAATCATCAATTAAGTTGTTCTTCCGCAATGGAGCTGCATCATTATATCCCCAGCTAATGATGGGTAAAGGTCTCCTACCCAATCTAAACATATTGTACCAGCTTGCATTGTCTCCATTTCCAAAATCCTGAAGATTACACCCACGAATGCTAATGAATTTCAAATGGCTTTAGCTTGTGCTGAGCAGGGGTGATAAATCAGGAGGGGGCAACACTGTGTAATGAAGCCAAATGAGGCTCTTGGCCCCTGCAATGAAGCTAATGAGATGGGGAAAAGTGTTGCTCAGCAGGTACACGGCAGAGATGTGCATCTAAGCACTTACCATGTGACCTTAATGAGTCCCTGAAATAATGCTAAAATGAGCATTTATATTTATGGCTGTATGACTACAGATGTCTAACATTCAGATGTTACCTTTAGACCTCTTCATGGCTTCCCTGTTGCTAACATGGCGTATAACGGTTAGTTCAGACCTATTACCATTGTTGTCGGTCCTTTGTGACCCATAACAATTATTAAGAGAAATAAGAAATCAGACACACCTTGAGGTCACTGCCATTAAGGCGAATTCTGTTTATCCTCCGGCCGCTGGGTCTGCTAGAGTCAATCCAGTAAATGAACTCCTTCTTGTAGTCAAAATCCAAGCTGATAATGTTGTTAAGGCCCTACGGAAGTGAGAAGGAAACACAACATAGAGGTAATAGAGGTGAATTAAGTAACTGCACAACAAATGTGACTGTTAGCGCAGTCAGTGTGATGTATTAGCTGGGTAAAGGCTGCAGTCAGCACACATAGATCAAGTATGCAGAACAAAAAAGAATGAGATGTTACGCCTTGTTCTGCTATTCGATTAGCTGGAGGGCTTAATTAGCCACTTCCGCGTATGCTTATCTCGACAGGATCCGGCATGGATGTACTACAGACATGAAACATACAGAGAATACATTTCTTTTGATGTCTTTTCATCGTATTGATTTTGGAAGAGGACACAGTGTGCTATTGGATGCATGTGGATGCTGGCTTCAGAATCCAGGGAAGCAGTTCAGAGAGCCTTCAGAGTGAACGCTGTGGGTACATTCGTTACTGTCATGTTCACGTCAGACTGCTGTCACTCAGTCTACCGCTAACTAGCCCCCCTGCCTTTGCCCACTTCACCACGGATGCTAAGATCAGGCGACGGGCATGATGACAGATGAAGAAAAGCTCTGATACCCCCATCAGATCATCAGCACTGTGAGACCCAAAACGACCTTTAGCCTTATCTTGTGGCAAGAACCTGCAGCCTTATCTCAAGGCCACAAACAAGTTATGTTTCATGTGACATCAGTTTGAACGTACAAGAGAGATCTATTAGAGGTCATGAGCATTTATATCATATTACATCTATCTATCTATCTATCTATCTATCTATCAATGTTGACATCAGTTGTGCTGCGTAATATTTTGGGGAAAACAATTATATATATAATATTTTTTTCAGGCTTCTATTCTGATGAATAGACAATTCAAAAGAACATCACTGATAAAAATAAATACAGAAATAAATAAAAATACATCTTTTGTAACAATGTAAATCTCTTTACTGGAACTTTTGGTCAATTTAGCACAGTTTAAAAAACAAAACAAACCAAACTAACTAAAATGTTTTTTTGGAAGGAAAAAGCACCATTACAAGACAAAAACAGCTGAAAAGGTGAAAAATATGTTAAATTACAACTACATTTGTTAGTTAACTAGCCAATAAAAAGTAATATGAACTGCACATTTGCAATCGTATATGCTATAAATCAATATAGCGATATTGTTGCAGTTTTTATCTTGTTGCTAGTCAGGATGTTGTCTATGATGTAATGCACTATTTTTCCCTAGGTGTTAGATGATAAATAATGAGCAGGATAATGTACAGTCAGCCAGTCATTACAGCAAAATAAACCCATTCAGGGTGATAAAAGTGGGCTTCTAATAACCAGGTGACTGCACATTTTCTCTTACTTACTGCACTGGCTATGCTTCAAACTGAAGGGACAGGCAATGCTTTAATTATGGATACTGTATGGCAGCTCGATAAATAGCTAACTAGCATTCCACAGAGCAAACGAGATCATGCACTATGCTAGTGTGAGGTCAACAAAGACCTCCATTGTCGAGAAGAGGCCACAGGGGCCACTCATATTTAAAGTACAAAAGCCTTCCTTCACTCATATTAAACAAAATGGAATAAATGATATTGAATGATTGCTGATGAGACTACTCCATAAAGGGGAGAGTTTCCTGAGAGCCCTATAGACATTCCCCTGGATGACAGCCTCAATTGGTATGAATAATGTAATGAGCGCCGAATTGAGGAAACTCACATTTCACTAAGAATCATCATTTCGATGGTAATGACTATAGGCCTCTAATGACACCAGCTGTGGATAATAGCACAGGGAAACTCAACTTGTTACACTAGGCCAATCAGAAATGGCAGTCACATATAAAGTCAAAATGACATTTCATAGAGCCATTCATAATGTGCGCCAAACTTGTTGTGTCAGACAAACTCTTGAATATGCAAAAGAAAAACAAACAAACAAACAAAACTTTTCATCTCTGTAAGCAAATACTGCCTGAGGTGTAGAACCTTAAAATAAAAAGCTAAAATTTGTAATGGACTTTGGTCAACCGAAATGGATATTTTAATAGCCAAAGACCAGGCTGATGATCAATGTAATTCTGACATACTATATAAGAAATACTATTTTGTGATAGCAAAATAGATTGAAATAACTGCTGAAATAAAATGAACTTATTTTACACAATATTTAATCTTATCTTATCCTGCAGAATTTGCATTATTGTTCATTTTGGTGTATAATATGTTTGTGTTTTCTTTTTGATTATTTGTAGCTGGTATTTGAACACTTTTTTTGGTTATTTAGAACTATTTTGGACTGTTTTCGTTTGTAAACGGTGGTTGCTCAGTGTGTATTTTTCTCCTGATTCAGACAAGATGATGTTTTCACAAAAAACGTCTTAATATTGAATTTGTTTCTTACAAACACATAGCTTTTGATTCACAAAACATTCATTGATGGACTAGAGTCATGTGGTCAAGTTTACATTTAAACACATACCATAACATACACATAACACTACATTTTTGAAAGTTTATAATCCATTGATAAGTCTGTAAGAATATGTATAATAATTAACGTTAAAATATAAAAATGTTAATTTATTCATATTAATTGTTATAACCTCAAAATGAATTGACTTTGCTGACATTAATTGGTTTAACTGACATTAAATGTAAAATGTATACAGTACTCCTCACTTTCAAGACCAGCAACATAAGGAGTGTTTTTAATTCTTTCACGTGAAGCTCCACCAAGCCGGGACACTAGTTAATGACTTCAATTAGTGTTTTCAAAGGGCACAGGAGACAATAGACACAGTGTTGTTATCGCAGTCATGTCACCACAGCTTAATTGGTCCTCTATTAGGCTTTTACAAACACAGCAGTTCTATCTTATGATCTGGTCTCTGAAGTCCAGTAACAATTTCATGAAGCAGTATAGCAGTCTCACCTGGGCAGATTACATGGGCAGCCTTTCAATAAAGTGTGGCATGAAAATAACCAATAAATGAGAGAACATAATTAGAAAACAGTTGAGCTTTACCTGTTTCAGAAGAGTGTAATTGGACCCATCGACACTTAATTTTCTGATTTCATGAAGATCAGCAAGTATAAGAAAGGGCTCTTCAGCTGTGAGAAATATAAAGGTGACTTGATGTGATGAAGACGGACAATTGTCAAGTTAACAAAGCTTGAAACCATCAGGTTTAGTTGAAACACATTCTGTGGGGAATTCACTAAATTATATTTACCTGAAAGAGACTTGCAGCTGTTGGGGTCTTTTCTAGAAGCTTCATAGCCGTCTACACAAAAACACTTAAAGGAACCGTAAGTGTTGGTGCAGTTCTGGCTGCAGGGTAGCGTGGTGGAGCATTCGTCAATGTCAGCACATGTTCTCCCATCATTCTTCAGGTGAAATCCCGGCCAGCACTTACACTAGACACATTGGTGAAAAAATGATAGAGATGTTTTGATTCAAAACCAGGAAATTGCTAATAATAAAAAAGAAACCTCTCTGCTGAGACCACTCTGCAAAATTCCACTTCATTTCAGTGCCATTTTACAAACTTATAGCGATAATACTCAAAAAATTAAAATGGTGCCATCACTTGAGGTCATTTGCATGTCATTCCAAATCTGTATCACTTAAAACACACAAAGAGATGTTAGGCAAAAACATTCACAGTGCTCTTTTCCACACAAATCAAAGTGAATGGGGTTCACATATTTCTGAGTCATCTGCTCCTTTGAAAAAAAATAAAAATCATTTGGTTTAAAAGTTGCACCAGAATAAAAATGCTGGCGTTTTACTGATAACAATGAATTATAAACTTTTTAAATTTCCAAATCTGTAGCTCATTGAATTACTCGTGATATGTTCTTTGCTCAGTTGTAACCTGAAGGGCTTTTCTTAACATCCCTTCATTTATACCACAGTGAATAATGTCTTTACCTACAGGATCGGACTCAACTACAGTACCTACAGTATCGGTAATGTCTTTATCGATTTTTAGGGTGACTGGTTAGAAATCTGCCGAGGAATGACACTGCCTCCAAGCACCTCTGATGATCACAGGTCATGTGAACATGGCATTCATGACACCTAGTTTGCCAATCAGTAATACAGAAGTGTCTGTAACTCGAGAGAATTAGCTCAAAAATCTCCCTCCTTAAGGCACACCTCTAGACAGCTCCCGAAGGCACAAGCCTTTGTTTAAACTTGTTCTGAGCATGCCAATTAAGTACCAATGAAGCAAAACTGGGACAAATCATTCCTATAGCTTTTTACTTTGTTCTTTATATGTTTGCCAAACTAATTCAGTGAAAAGTTGTTGCAGCAACAAAAACACAGTAGTTTCTGCAAAGCAATTCACCAGTAACATTTGTGCAAAATTTCAGTCACATGAAAAAAGACATGTATGTTTATTTTTGTGTGTATATCTATCTATCTATCTATCTATCTATCTATCTATAATATAATATAATATAATATATATAATATAATATATATATTTATATTTTTTTTTCCCAAGGAAGATTTTCTGTTTTAAAACAACAAAATTGAAAAAATATAACAACTTGCTATCATTTGCAATATGGCAACTGCCTCACAAATAAAAATCGTCAAAGACTTAAAAATCTTTCTTGCCCTTTCCATATAACATATCTGTGCACAAGAAATACATGTGTATTTCTGCAGAAGACTTAATAATACTGTAAACAATTTGTAATTGTCTTATAAAAATATTTTTAATATAATTAATATAATATAATGTCCAAATAAATAAATACTAAACTGCAGTTAACTGCGATAATTGATGCTGTACAAATGCCTTGTGAGGAAATGCATTAATGCATTTGTGATATGGAATTGCTAATGAAATTACATTCTCTGCATCAAAAGTTATTCTGTAAATGTTCAAGCTAAACAAATCTTGCAGTTTCTAAAACATGATTATATTCTGAAAGACAAATCAACTTATGAATGTTGTATAAGTGTTATGAGAAGCAAGCTTTGGCTGGATAACAATTTTTTGTCACTTCTGGTAAAAAAAGAATTGGCCTTGAGGGACACAATACACTTAAATATGTAGCAACACTAACCACAGCAACTTGTTGCATATGTCAAGCATATGACCTTTAACAAAGGAGGATAACGCACACACACACATATATACATATATATGAAGTGCCGATTTAGGACAAGATTTAATACAATACCCAATCTTACATACATTTATAATAAAATGTATTACAATCTAATTCATAAACCTCACAAACCTTGTATCCCACTGGTAAGTCCTGGCAATCCTGCGTACAGCCGCTGACACGACGGTTGAGACATTCATTGACATTGCAGTTTTTCTCATCTGAGCGATCTCCACAGTCATCTTTCAGGTCACATAAACTCTTCTCAGATATACAGCGGCCATTTGAGCACATGAAAAATGAACTGTTGCATAAGCTCTCTAGAAATAAACGAGGAAAGTGCAAACAAAGGACACAAATTAAGGAAAAGTACAAAGCATTACAAACACTACAGACTTGTAATGTTGAAAACCAAACTGAGAACGCAAAAATGCTTTTGGATAAAGCATGAATGGTTGGATGGCTTTAACTCTGCAAAGCTAGAGGGCATAAAAGTTGCAATCCAACAAAAGCCAAATGATATTTCAAGCTTCCTGCAACTGCCAGTAAGTGCAAGGCTTTTTTAAAATAAATGCTTGGTACGCTCAGCTGAAAACATGCCATCCCCGCAGGTCAAAGTTATCCACTTCAGCCCCCTGCTTTTATCCATGATGTCCCTTGGCCACTTGTATTCCCTCAGATGTTCAGTAAGCCCCACATCCATCAGTCAAACATATTTCAGGCACAGCTCTGTTGGGCCATTACCGGCAGCCAGGCATTTGAGGTTGAGGGGCAGCTCATCAGAGTGGTCAGGGCAGTCTGGGTAACCATCACACTCCCACTGGGCGCTGAGAAGGCATCGGCCATCAGCACAGCGGAACTCATCTGGCCCACATGAGCGGTACACTGCGTAAAGAGTGAGGACTGTCAACATAGTGACACACTTCGCTACCAAGCAGAGATCTTAAAGGGATAGCTCACACAAAAATACTCAACTAAATTCTGTCAGCATTAATTTTAAAACGAGTTTGATTACTTTTTCATCTGTGGGACACAAAAGCAGATTTTTAGTGGAATGTCCAAGCTGCTCTTGTTACAATTAAAGTGTTCAGCGATTTATACTGTCAGGCCCCAAAAAGGACAAAAAAATCACCACAAAACTACTATAAAATGTTGTCCACTTGACTTGAGAAATTCAGACATTCTGAAAAAATAAATTTCATTTTCCAAAGAAAGAAAGAAAGACACACGTAATATCCAAAATAATATTAAATGACATAAGGTGTTAGTAAATTATGACAGAATGTAATTTTTTGGATGAACTATGTGAACCTTGAAGATGAATATGAAACAACAAAGGTATGTGATGTTACTTTTCAATAAAATGATGTGCAGATTTCTTGGGTTAGATTTTCTAAGAACTAATGAAAACTCTCGTTGAATCTTTTTTGCTATGAATCATTTTCCTAGGCTTTTTATTTCATATTTTAACTTCTGTTCAATAAGTTCTAGTGCAGTTCTAGTCTGCTGTATGAACAGGGGTGATGTCCTGTGGAGAGGCTGTCCTTTCATGTTGTGAAGTCCAGGGCCCAAGTTCTCCATCAAAAAGCCCACAGATGTTTCAGCTTTAAGTAAAAAAATAGTTCTAAAACATTTTTTAGAAAACCCCAATAATTGAAGTACTTCTTAATTAAGAATGTATAGTACAAATAATATGAGCACAGAGCAGCCTAAGGCTCACAGTAGGGCTTTAATTAACTAAGAATTGCCTCACTTTTTCCATTAAAATACGGCACATTTTTACTATTTCAATGTTGATTTTTGTGGTATTCAGTTTACTTTATAAATAAAATTAGCTTTAGCAAATTCCTTAAGGGAAAAGCAGGTATCTATAGTGACCAAAGGTAGAAAAAATGCATTTCTCAACAGCTCTGCTTCTCGGTCTGTTGCTTATTCAAAGCCTACCCATAGGAAAGAAAAATCAAAAGTGAGATCGCTTTAACAGCTCAAATATTTATCCTAGACAGAAATGAGGTTACTTTAAGATCGAATGGAGATTTTTGCTTGAGTCTCCTCCTTCTCAAACTTGTCTCCTGAGACAAAAACTCTAGCAATCTCACAATGGTCTCCTTTAAAGCTTTAAAAGAGATCTCAATAACATCACACACTGTGCTCAGATATTTCTCCTTAGCTACAGACACTGGATCTCTCACATGTGTCTCTTTTAAAGCTTTAGAAGACATCTCAACAACATCACACACTGTGCTCAGATTTTTCTCCTAGTCTAAAGACTCTGGTGGTCTCATATTTTTCTCATTTAAAGCTTTAGAAGAGATCTCAACAACATCACACACTGTGCTCAGATATTTCTCCTTAGCTA